CAACAATGAGGGTAAAAAATCCCACTTCCAATGGAGAGGAGTCCATTTTGCGACCTTCACCAGTAAAGCTGCCCATTGTGAGCTTTTTCTTAAAGAACACAGCGAAATGTGAGACGAGTTTCAGTGGGGTAAGTGAAGTCAAACTTTTAATCCTGCAGGAGAGCACTCTTTGAAGAAAAGACCTATGTGTAACCTTTTAAAATGCAACGTGGGGAATAGCATCTGTAGTCAGCTACCATTCCTGTAAAAACAAAAAAGTGGAAGGTGGAACTTGTACATTAAGGGGCTGTGTACATATCTGAAAGAACACACAAGAAACTGGTAACCGTGGGTGCCTCTTGGTATAAAATTAGGAGAAGGGGGTCAGGAAAAGCATGAAGAACTGAATTTTCTCTGTATATTCCTTTGTGCTATTTGAATTCTTTTTCCACGTGCATGTTTTTCAAAAAAGTTTTAAGGAGTTCATTTATCCATTCGACAGACACTTATGGAGTGTACAGTGGGTATCGGGCATTGAAAGGATGAGACAAAGTGAAACCAGGAACATACTGGGACTGGGAGGTGTGCAGGTGAGCCACCTAACTTGTCATCCACACTGGGACCCTGCTGAAGGAGGCAGCACTGCTAACTGAACATCGAGCCAAATGAGACACTGTCCTGAGCAAACCAAGACGTCTTGGTGGCCCAAACAGGAGGTCAGCCACCCACAGTCAGTGCCTGGGGCTGGAAACAAGAGGGTCAGAAGCACTGTGGGAGAGGAGGATGACAACTGAATCAGGGCCGCTTCCTCGACGAAAGGTGGGTAGGATTTAGATGGGGGAGAGATAGGCAGAATATGGACCCCAGGACTGAGGATGTGATGACATGCCATTCCCATGAATACATGACCCATCCGCTCAGGCTGCCATAAACAAAAATACTGTGGACTGGGTGTTTTAAACAACAGATATTTATTCCTCCAGTCCTGGGGGCTGGAAGTCTGAGATCAGGTGTCAGCATGGTCAGCATCACGTGAAAGCTCTCCTCCTGGCTTGTAGGTGACGTCTTCTTGCTGTAGCCTCACATAGTGGAAAAGAGGGAGCTCATGTGAACTTGGCGGGGGGGAGCATAATCGTTCAGTCCATTGCATCACCTGACATGACAGAAGGGATTCTGCATCTGTAAGTAAGGGGACTAATCAGCTGACATTAAGATAGGGAGATTATCCTGGATTATCTGGGTGGGCCCAACACAATCCCTCAAATCCTTTAAAAGGAGACAGAAGATGAAGGCAGAAGAATTCAGAGAGGTTTGAAGCCTAAAAAGGACCACACACGCCACTGCTGGCTTTGCAGATGGAGGAGCCACGTGAGCAGGAATGTGGGTGACCTTTGGGAGCTGAGAGAGCGTCCTTGATTGACAACCAACAAGGAAACATGGGCCTCAGTCCTACAACCACACAGAACTGAATAAGGCCACCACCAAATGAGCTTGGAACGATTCTTCCCCCAAGTCCACAGGTGAGAGCCCAGCCTGGCCAACACCTTGATTTTAGCCCTTGTGAGATAAGACCGGAGCGGAGGACCCAGCTGAGCCCACCCAGATGTCTGACCTGCAGAAGCTGTGAGATCATGAATGGGTATTGTTTTAAGCTGCTCAACTGTGGTAATCTGTCACACAGCAATAGAAAATGAACACAGGGTATTTCCCTTAGAGAGGACCATGTATTATGTGTGTGGGGGGGTGCAGTCATGAAGGCAAACACCTGCAGGGGCCTCAGCCAAGCAGGCGCAGATGGAGGAAACAACAATGCAGGCTCAAGGAGAGAGGACCACCAAATTCAGCTTGGGAATCAAGGAGGCAGCGTGGAGGGTGGGGCCCAAACCCGTCCCAAGAGCACCCCATTCCCTGTTTCCTGAGCTGTTGCCTGGCAGGAATACAGGCTTAGTGTGACCAAATCATCCAGTTTTTCAAGAGAATCCAGAAATCCAATTTTTATATAAAACATCTTCATTCAAACTCCATAAACACTGTACTGCCAAACTTGTACAGACCAAACAACATGCAGATGTGTGTTCTGAGCCAGATGTGACCTTCTAGGGCATCAACTGAGTGTAAGTGAAAAGGCAGAAAGGTCCTCAGAGCAGAGCACAAAAGCCCCAAGTATGGACTTTCTTGGGAGGCAGTAGGGAGCCAGGGAAAGTCACCCCCTTCCCTCTCATCCAGAAGAGTCCATGCATGCACTCATATGCATGGAAAACCCACCTGGGCCAGTGACTACACTGGGCATGACCTACTAGGAGCCACCCAACAACCTGATGTCATAAGGGCCACTCACCTCATTTCTGGGTGAGGCAGCTGAGGTGCAGAGTGGTTCAGTAATTCCCTGTGCTTATAACCCAGGGCTCAAAACTACATTTCTGATTCCAAAATCTGAGTCCTCCCAGCTGTTCTACATGGCATCCCAGCACTGAGCGATTTTGTTCCTTTTGAAAAGGGGTTTGCTGTTGTGTTTCCCAAGGTCTGAAGTCTTCTCTCAGATGTGAACCAGATCCCTCTCCTTACTCAAGGCTTTGGCTCTTCCAACTCCACCTCCTACCAGGGTAGCTACCCATCCCCCACAGCACCTCCCTCACCCACCCCCCACACGCCACATCCCAGCCTTTCAGGCGGGATTCCATTCCTACTGCTCACTTGTAGCTCTGTCTCTCTGCCTCCCAGTTCCAAATTCCTGAGAAAGGTATCTCATTGGCACAGGTCATGTTTTTGTTCCAAGTCATAATGGGTCATAAGTCACTGGCCACCCTATGGGATGGGCCTCCCTTTGGCCGATGGCAGCCTAGACGTGACCCTCTGCAACCCCTCCCTGCCTCACACCCCTCTCCACCTCCAACCCATCTCTGAGCAACCCCTATCTCAAGGCCGGTCCCCAGAGGCTAGGGCCAACTCAGGGAACGAGCTTGGGCAAGCCATTTCCCTAAACACACCATCCCAAACACCTGCCCGGCTATGCCTGACACTTATAAATATGGCTCTAATGGAGGTGCCTGGACTAGGCAAGGCAAGACTGAAGCCTCTGAGATGCCCACCGCTTGGCTAGGCAGGGGCATTGGCAGGAGCACCACACACATCACTTACCTAATGACCGGGAGAGGAAAGAAACCAGGGAGTGCTCCGTGTCCCCACTCATAAACCCTCAGTAAGGGGCCCTCAGTCCCTTCCCACAAAGCTGAACATGAATTAAACAAAGGGCCTCTTTGTTTCCCACTGAGAGAAGGAGATGTTGTTAGCAACAAGCCCTCACTCTGCCTTTTTCTGACAGTGGGAACTTAGGAAGGCCTCTGCAGAGCCATCTAAATCAGTAACGGCCGGGACAGGTAGGCACGTGATGAGGTCGGAGGACAGGTGCTGAGAGACAGGTAGAGCTTTAAATCCTCTTTATAAAGCCTGCACTTTGGATGAGGGCAGCAGGTTTTCCAGTGTTACTGAGTTTATATTGACACAAAATAAGCTGCCCATGGGTATATAAAGTATACAATGTGATGTTTTTCCTATACATACACCTGTGAAACCATCAGCACATTCAAGATAATGAATCTGTCCGTCACCCCCAAGCATCCTTGTAGCCATTAATAATCCCCCAAACCTCCCTGCTCCCCATCCCTGTCTCTTTCTGTCCCCACAGTGTGCATTTCCTAGTATGTTACATAAATAGAACCGCAGAGTGTGTACTTGGTTTTCTCTGGTTTCTGCCACTCAGAATAATCTGACATTCGTCCATGCCATTGTATGTACATCAATAATTCATTCCTTTTTATTGCTGAGTAGTATCCCAGGGTATGACAGAGCACCATTGGTTCATCCATTCACCTATTGATGGACATTTGGCTTATTTGCGGTCTAGAACTATCACAAATACAACTGCTGTGAACCCACTCACATACACATTTTTGTACTTGCACATATGCTTTCTTTCCTCCTGGAAAAATACCCAGAATGGAATAGCTGGATCATTTGGTAGGCACGGGTTTTGAGCATGGCTGTTTTAAGGAATCTTCCATGTGGGCTTCAGAGTATAAAGGTATACAAGGTAAAAGTATACATAGATCACATGCGAACAAGTGTCACACACACTTACCCATAGAGGTCACATCAGGCTGCAGCTGACTTCATTCCCAGTCCTCCCAATGTATGGACAGGTCTCCCAGAAGGGAAAGTCTCCCAGGATGACCTTTGGTTTTGTAAAAGGCTCAGTGCACAAGCCCCTGACAATTCAAAAATGGCCTACAGGATGGGGGGGATTCCAGGAGATCCTTTAAGTCACGGAAACATCTCATTTAAATAATGGCAACATCTCATTGGTCTAGAACAGAATAGTTTCAACCAATACTGAAAGCTGCAGCATGAACTAGGACAGGGGTTCTCCAGGGGTGGTCCCATCAGCATCACCTGGGAACTGGTTAGAAATGCACATTCTCCCCAGCCCAGACCTATGGCACTGAAATCCTGATGTGGGGCCCAGCAATCTGGGCTTTTACCTGTCTCGCAGGTGCTGTGATGCATGCTCTAGTTTAAGATCCAGTAGCCTAGAACATCTTCCAAGCCCCTGGATTCTCTTGGAATTAAATCTATCTGACGTCGTGATACACCAAGAGCTCATCCCCTCTATGCCTTGCTCCACCCACATAGCTGTGGAGGCCACCCTCTTAGAGCTCTGTAAATTTAAAATCTCGAAGAACCAAGTTACCAAGTGGAATGCAAACTGACACAATGATGGTTGGCACTTCTTTCCCCAAAGCACAAACAAACAAAATTCTCAGGAACTCAATCATGAAAGCATTTAAATCCAAATGTCAAAACCACCCATTTCTCTATGTGTGGCTATTATAACATACATGAATCCAAAAAAAGAAAAAGACAAAGATTTTAGGTGATACACTCCAACACTCTTTACTGCTCTAGAACCCTCACTGAAAATTAACACATCAGCAGGAAAATTAATCAAACTTGAACAGGAAGAATTTGAGTAAAAATATTGGATATTTTTTGTTTTAATCTTCAGTTTAAGCATGATTTCCGCTCAACATTATAACCAAAGAGAAGTTATGATCATTTCCTTGGTATTTTACATGTTAAAATTTAGCCCAGTCTTTGAAAACTCTCTCCAGCTTCTGGCCAAGCAGAACTTTGCCGCTCACTTTGAACTTGCCAGCAAGGAAAGCCTTCTGAGGGTTCATTTTGCCCAAAACCAACTCCATGAAGACAGGTTCCGGGATTGTGAAGACAGTGTCAGCTGGAAGCCTGGCGGATCCGGGATACATGTCCCCAGAGCCATTCTTCAGATCAATGGTCCACTGCAGAATGGTCTTCCCATCTTTGGTGATGTCCAGCTGAAAGATGGCATTGACTTTCTTTACCAGTTGGGCCCCCACCTCTTTGATGTGATGGCTAATATCCTCAAACACAGGGAAGCTCTGGAATTCTGACAGCTCTAGAGGGTGTGGCATGGCAGGTTCCCAAGCTGCACCCAGTTCCTTGAACTGGCCTGCCTGAGGTCCATCCACTGCTTTGATCTTGGGTTGATGGTCGATTCTCTTCCACATCTTACTGTGCTGGTCCTCTTGACCTTGCCATCTGGTTTGTGAGCAGCTGTGGCCAGATTAATATCCACAAGTCAGATTGTGACATCAAAGGTAAAGCCCAAGCAGGGAATGAGGCTGGTGTGTGTGCTGCAGTCTTATTGGCCAAACAGATACTAAAATGTGACATGGAGTGAGGCCTCAGATAGGTAATTGTGAGGCAGATCCACACCACCACCCCCCAAACCAATGAGGGCTGTTGGTCTCACAGGCCCAGAAAGTTCTGGACCCCATGTTGGGAATAAGAGAAAGTGGCCCCAGAAGGTTCTTTGGTGATATGAGCTCTGTCTTTCCAATGCAGACCTCTCCCAGTAACAACCCTAATTCAGAGCAGTTATTCTGATTCCTCAGTGGTGTTTAATCCTTAAGGCACAGATACTGATGCTAGATTTGGCATTACCTAGCTGCTGGTGGAAGGGGAAAGGCTTTTAGAGAAAAATGGCTGATTGGAGAAAGAATCAGTACTGGGATTTGCATCAGAAAGCTTCAGAGGCACAGTGAGAAAACGGGGAAGGGGCGGGGGGAGGAATATCCCTAAGATCAATAGAAGATGCTGCTGGATGTCCACAATAGCCAAACTATGGAAAGAGCCTAGATGTCCATCAACAGATGAATGGATAAAGAAGATGTGGTATATATATACAATTGGATATTATGCAGCCATCAAAAAATGAAATCTTGCCATTTGCAATGACGTGGATGGAACTAGAGGGTATTATGCTAAGCAAAATAAGTCAATCAGAGAAAGACAA